ACCCCGATTTGACAATTTAAATAGCTAGGAGGATCAAAGTAACTGGAGTGCGGCCAGAAATCGCGTTAAAATTGAGGAATTTGACAACGCGACAGTAGTGCTATTGGCCTGAGATCAGGCAAGATATGGCTCCAAGATTTATAATGGTTATGATTGTTTAATAGTCGATACCTCGAGGGCATTATCGACCCATTGCTTCATTCTTTCCGCCTCGATCCCATCCACACGTTCCATGGACCCATGGTGGTTGCTTTCAAGCCTCCTCGCGAGGTGCTCCTGGAAAACGATAACCCCGTTGCGGCCCATCGTCGTTCAGAAAGTTTGGATCGCCTGCTGAACTTCAAAAGCCGTACCAAGCATTTTTCGGGCCTGATGACCTGGTGATGCTCATCGTCGTCAGCATTATCCAAATCCCAGAACCGGATGGCTTCAATGAGGTGCACCAATCCTCGTTGCGGAATTCTTGCCGGACAGAAGACTATCTGAATGAAAATTGATGATCGTCTTGGAAGGTTGTTTTAGCAAAATTAGCAATCAAATTTTAATAGAAAAAAACTTTTTTTAAAGAAAAAAAAAAGAAAACAAAACAAAAAGAGAAAAGAAAACAAGAAAAACTTCTTTTAAAGGTAGAAAAACCCTTGAAAAACTCGAAAATTTTGTCATTTTTGGGTCCAAAAAAATGGATTTTCCTACCTAAAATTAAATCTTTTAATCAACTTTGTAAGGTTTGTATGCTTAGGAATATCTAAAAACAATTTAGAAACACTTGCACTACTTATATAAAAAATCTATGCTTGTGCCGGAAAAATTTGATGTGTTACCGTACTCACATCGGTCAGCAGGCCAACTCCTTCGATACTGTAGATGCAGGTAAACGTAACCACCGGCGACGATCGTTCACGGAATGTCCACCCGCACCAAAAATCGCGCATCTCGTCTGCATCGCGCCACGGAGTTTCGGTCACCCAGTTCTGCCAAAGTGTTGCTTGATGACTGGCTGTTCGGATACAAATCGGAATCAACTCTTTCACTCTCAGATTGCGATTTGACGTTAATTCAGGTGTCAGTCGAAAGCTCTCAACGAACCGGCAAAATGAAATTTTGACAAAATAATATTTCGACAAAATCAACTTTCGACAAGATCATTTTCCACCAAATGATTTTCGACAAAATCGATTTCTATGTTTTCACCTACCCCGTCTAAGTGCAGCTCCCCGATACTGCCTCGGTAATTGAGTTGAACCTTGCGAAAGATATTCCAAGAGCGTCGATTGAAGCTGGCCGCAAAGTATAAATGGAATTCGTTGACTGCTGCGAGTGAACGAAAAAACGGGCTCGCCTGCAATTGTTAACGTTTTTACACCGTTTGTCCGGAAAAACCGTCGCGCTACGCCCGGCTCCTTTGGACGCTTTTGCCCCGTCGCGGGACATTACCGTTTTTGGTCTGTTTAATTGGCCGTGTGACGCTTGAAAAATCAAAAAAGGGGCTTGTTTTAGAGAAAACCAGGGTTGAAAAGCCGCTACGCGGCTTTTCACGCCTGGCCTTTGCGGGGGTATCTTTAAAAGCTGCTCACTTTGCATCATTCTAGCGAATTAGCGCCAACCTCTCAACTAAATAAAACAAAAGCGACCGAATGCGAGCGTGACAAAAACCGGAATGCGCACCTTAACGGCTCGTATGCAAATGAGAACATTTCCATATGTTTTAAAAAGACTAAAATAAGGTATAAATCGTCATTTTCTTAAAAATCTAATAAGCGCGCAGTAATCTACGCCTTCGAATACCCCTAAATACGTTTCAGTTGGCCCCTAAAACGCTTTTCCCGTCCTGATATCTCAATAACCCGGTTTTTTTCGAGCCTTTTATGCAAAGTGTCTACACACACACAAACACTATTTTTTTATATATAGTAGGATGCGGTGTTTCCAGGCACTGGGAAATTATGCGAGTGCCGTGCCGTTGTGTAATTTTTACGGAAATGAATATAAATACCCACATCGATTCGCACCGGTCTGCTGGAAGAACTGCAGCCCAGTTCGTCGTTGCATCTGGTAGAATTATGCGTGATCTCCAGGTCCTTTTGAAGCGTGACCAATGACCTTGGCAAACTGCCGATCAACCGATAAAATGGGACCGTCCAGGCGCTGAAAGAATGCCTAAAACAGGGCCGAAAGGATGAAAGGTACTTGATTTCTCGGTACGGCCGTCCAATACTAATCCGTACGGTATTGTCGGCACTTCGTAGAGCGAGGCGCAATCCCGCCGTGTCCATAAGCCAGACCGAAATTTCGTGTGCCAGAATCTGAATAAATGAGGGAGCCAATATAGAAAGGGCTATTTTGGCGAAAAGGGCTGCAAAAATTGTGCACCAGCACCTGTTCACATCAACGTGTATTGCCGTTATGCTTTGACGCCACCAAAACCACGTAAACAGGAAATTTTTTGGATGATCCTGCTTTTGACATAAAAAGTCGGGCCGCGCTGGGCCCGGGCGGGAAAAAATGGCGTCCGGCCCGGCCCGACGCGATTTTTTAGGTCACAAACGGGGTCAACCAAAAAGTTTCCATGGCCCTGTGGGGAGGAGGGGTAGACAAGCGTATCCAACTTTGCCTTTAAAACCCCCTTTAAAGGGCTGGTTCAACTTTTAGAGCTTGGGATGGTTCCTTGGGACACTATGGGCGTAGGCACAGTGCGCCCGAACGGTCCCCCATTACGGCAGCTATTAGAGATTGGGGAAAAGGGAGAGGCGCAAACACAAAAACGCAGAGAGGGTTCGACTCCTGACGGCGGAAATTCTTTTGTTTTATTGGCTTGAACTAGCCCTTTAAGATGTACTTCACGATTGTCCGCCTCTTGTCGCAAATCTCCCTCGCAATCACATATTTCCATCTCGACCGCCGTCGACGATAGTTTTCGGGGAAGCAACCCGCGCCGGTTGATCGAACGTCTGAAACAGTTACGGTATTTTAATATACAGGGTGTTCCAAAAAAACCCGCGGAATTTGTTCGCCCCCTATCCGATCGATCCTCGATTTTTAAAATGCACACCCACGGGCTGTTGCTGGCTGATAATGGCTATCGTAGAGGCTTGCTTCCTTTCTTGTAAATTTAGTTGTCGATCGCCATCGGATAGTGCGTCGAAAATTATACTAGCGATTTAATTTCGGCCCGAAATGCGACAATTTAAAATTATTACTTTATTTAGCTAAAAAGTTTAATCAATTAAACATCATTAAAAATGAACTTTCTCGGACTGAAATTAAATCACCTAGTATATTTTTTAGCGATCTATCCGGATCCAATATGACACTAGGTCTAGACGGTAAAATGTTAAAATCTCGACTCACAAAATCTCGACTAACAAAATCTCGACTGACAGAATCTCGAATGGTCGTGTAGCCCTAAAACTCAGCCAAGCCCACTGCGGAAAACGTTTTCAGTCGCTGAAATACGTAGTGGAATTTCTCAAACATTTTTTTGTGTGTGGGAAACCCCCAGCATGACAATTTTTGCGAGTTAGGCCCCAGTGAAACATTTTTTTCGCACCGTGTAGCAGCGACCGACTACTTTGAACGGTCGAGATTTTGAACGGTCGAGATTCTAATTAGTCTAGATTCTGTCAGTCGAGATTTTGTCAGTCGAGATTCTGATCGGAAAGCCACAGCTCGTGGGTGTGCATTTTAAAAATCGAGGATCTCTTCTGGCTGCCGAAAAACAGGTGATTCCGGCGCGTTTTTTACTCGATTCCTTCTGAATTTCAGCGTGGTTACCTGAACGATTTGTTGACCCGCTGTAAAGTGAGCAATTCTCGATGGGTCAGCTGATCAAGCACAGCCGAAAGAAGCGTCACGCGGAGATGGCCGATCGGAAACATTTGCCAAGCCTGAAAGAGGAAAATAGCCTCACCTTACAAGGGAAGTGTTTTTAAACCAAGTGGCAAATCGCCTTACACATACATCAATCTACAAAGAATTAAAAATAAAGCTGAGGTTTACATATTAGTTTTTGCGGAACGCCCCTCTTTCAAAATTAGCCGGATTTTTCCAAGGCTCCTGGAACCCATTATCTCGAAATCGATTGTTTTTTTGTCATTATAAGTTTTGTTTGGATTGCTTATCTGCTAGAGACTTTTTTGTTGATTCAAATGGTATATTTCATTAATTTCGGGTCGCTTCTTTAGATAATGAATTTCTTGTTAAATTTAAATCATTAAATTTTAATTCGCTATCGATTGATGTATGTTACATACCGATTTGCCAACTGGGTCAAAAACTTTCCTTGTTTGCCAAGAGTTGATATGGACCCAAAAGAATTCTAAGTCGCAACGAAGGTCGATTCGGTTGATTCGGTCACGGTCGATGAGCAGACGTCTATAATCAATGTTTGGGCCACATCTGTCCAACGCTACCGGGATTTAAACCTTGTCTGAATTTGAAATCATACCATATCGCTGTCCCGAGATAACCCCCTTGTGGCATTAATGATGCGAGCTGATTCCAGTTTCTCGCAGATTTTCGCGGACAAAAGGAGAAGCCTTTCTTCAAAAGATACAAGGAGAAGCTAGAGAAATCCTGAATTGTCACTCCCAGGCTGCCCTCTCTTCAAAAGATACAAGGAAAAGCTGGAGAATTCCTGAATTGTCTCTAGCCTGCCAGCCTGAGCAAAAAGACGCCTGAAAAAGTCGTAAGCGCAGAAGGAACTGTCCCTTTCAAATGACAGAATGTAATTTGAAGAATTGCTGCGATTCACACAACTTTCTTTCGGGCACTTGTTTATTGAAAATACTGGTGAAAACTGGAAAAACGAAATTGTAGCAATGTGGATAGACGAAGAAAGTAATTTGTGGCGATACTATCAAACTGTAATGGGGATGAATGTGAATACGTCAAAGATACAGACAAAGATGAAATCAGATATTTGAAAACGATTTCTGATCCTTGTGTGTCGGTGGCTTTGGGTGCGTTTTATGTGTTGTTCGTCTATCGGGCTGTTGGCTTCATTCGCCGCGCTGAAAAAAAATAATATTAGCGAAGGTATATGATTATGGAGAAGCACGACGAGCCGTATGCTAATTTTTCACAGAAAGCATGATTTCAGGACTTCGAAATCTTTGAAGAAATTATTGAACATGGTATCCAATTAAAAAATTTCAAATCCACATGAAAACATAAGATACCTGGTTTAGCCAGCGAATTATTCCGTCGAGATGTCGTTCGCGCGACTCCAGCGATAGGCTTTTGAACATGTTGGCGTTGGACTTCTGCTGCAAAAGTTTCGCCAGGGTGCCCTGTTGGATGTCCGTGTAGCCTCTTTCGTTCAACATAGCGGCCCAAGTAGAGCGCCCGCCGGATGCTAAAGGGAACAAATACATTTCGATGTACGGAGCGATAAGCAAACAAAAAAAAAAAAACAAGTGAAACTTCTTACAATTCGATAGGCAATATTGTCGCACACGGCTCATCATGGCTTGCAAGTATTCGGGCACGCAGTTGGAGTCGTCGCTGACCTGAAAAAACCTTAATTTAACAACTACTAAATCAGTCGAGAACACACTGGGCGTCTAAGGTCCGAATATTCCCAATATTCCTTCTAAGAACGAGTGGCTTTGAGGTGATCTTGGATTTTTCGATGTAACATAGCTCATTCGATAGAGCTTCAAATTCTGAACAAGTCCCACCTTTTAAAAACTGCTGAACAACCACGGTTTTTGAAAAATTAGCTCGGAAAGGGGCCGATTTTAGCATTTTTGGCCGCCGCTGAACTAAATACGGACCCTGAGAGATTTATTCTCGAAAACCGTTGTTTCTGAAGCAGTCTTTGAAGACGGATTTGTACGGAATTTGAAGCTCTATCGACTATGTTACATCGCAAAATTCCAAGGTCACCTAAAAGCCACTCCTTGTAAGCAGTAGCTTACCTTTTGATCGCCCGGGTCGCGTTTCGGCGTAGCCGAGGCTTCAAGATCATGGAAGTATTCCTAAAAACGGGACCGTTTCAGAAGCAAAGTAAGAAATATGCTCACCAAGAGATCCGATCCGGTGAATGCGATTAGCGCTTGCTGATGCGCATCAAAGTACAGATCCGTGTAGACGTACTGGTCGTTAATTTGCGTCGACATCTCCGAGAGAATTACTAAAGACAAACATCAAAAACGAAACACACAAAATGCCGGTATTTAGGCGGAACTGACCAAGTGATCGATCCATGGTTCCCATAAAAATCAGCACTATAGGTGACGTTGGGCACGATCGACGACGTTGGGTAGGCGAATTCGCCGAAACGCGCCTGAAAAATACAAAAAATTTTTAGGCAAAGTATGAAGACGAGACGGCGTTGGAATGCCTGCTTCTGTTATATACAAGTGATGAATGCGAGAATTCAATAACTATCGGGGTTTTAATAATTCTGAGCAAAATCATGAGAATCCGGGCCGGGACGCACCGTCATGCGGAAAAACAGCAGTTTCTAAGGGTTACAGAGGGCTTGCAAAAATAGCTGTGGCCAGGAAGAAGCGCAAGAGCAATACACACACACATTACAGGGCAAAACTTTCAAAAATTAATCGTTCCATTTTAAATCAGTGGCCTAAAATTTCGGGGATTGAAGCTCGGCCACTCCGTCATTAGTAGCGTGCCGGGCCGGAGTTCTGGAGTTCTTGTTTCAAAAATTCTTGGCAAAACGGAAAACATGATTATTCTAATTAATCTTTGTAGAAAAAAAAACTAAATTTTGTGTAGAGCACAAAGAAGAGACCCGCAGCCCCTTTTTGCGCATCTACTTTCTTGAACCACGCTTTGAAAAAGTACTAAAAAAAGCCTGGAAATTCTTTTTTCGCAAAAATCTATCCATATTCAGCACTTTCTAATTAATTCCTCATGTTTGTATTCAGAATATCTGTCTTCCACGTTCGAATCATAATTTCAGGTTTTGGGGCGTCAAGTTCTACGAGTGCGGCGGGAGCGATTTGCCAGCGGAGGTGAGAAAACGGCGCTAGATGGGACCAAAATTCATGCACGGGATAAGAAAGAGCAAGATAAGTTGAATTTTCCATTCATGCATATAATGTTTTAGAGAAAACGATACCATTGCCTGGTCGGCGCTTCTTCGTCGCTCGCGAACGCGTCGATCCGTCACTGATCCGCGTCCACTTCGCGTTGTCGGTGCCGTCGCCGCGCACCTGAAAAATTCATCTTTCCAAAAGTAAGCAGTAAGGTGTGATTTGCTATCTTGTTGTCGAAATTTCATAACGTCGAAGTTCGAAATTTTATAATTTCATGCTTTTAGACTGTCGAAATCTGTTGTATAGGGATTTGGGTTTGCGGAAAAACTAGCTTAAGTCGTCCTTCTGCATTTCGACATTCTGAATCTCGACATTCTGAATTTCGGCATTCTGAATTTAGACATCCTGAATTTAGACATCCTGAATTTAGACATTTTCAATTTCGACTTTACGAAATTCAAAATTATGAAATTTCGACATTCTGATATTTCGACGCCCTAAATTCGACATTGTGCAAGGAACGCATAAGATTTAGAAGTGCGCAAGAAGCTACAAGCTTCTTTTCAAAGCCACCCCCTACCATGAAAACCGAAATCTACACCCAAAACTCTCTCCGGGCAAGTACGAAGCGCAATCCGAACGCATTCCTCAATTGCCAATGCTAGTCTGCTACTACAGTAAGTGATCACTATCTAAAGAAGCCAATTCCCCAATTCTCCCGGCTAGTCTGCCCATTACAGGAACCGATGGCGAGACAACCTGATCGATTCCTCAATTGTCACTGCTAGCCTACCGCCTTTACGAAGAATTTGAATCGATTCCTAAATGGTGACTGCTAGTCTACCCGCAGAGTAAGTCGTCAGAGAGGATTCGCCCCGATTCCGCAATTGTCGCTGCTAGCTCACCCCCTAAAATTCGTCGTTCTGAAGAAATCGCGCCGACTCCTCAATTGTCACTGCTACCCGCCACTACAGTAAGTAATTATTAGTCGCTACAGCCGATTCCCGAATTTTCCAAGCTAGCCTGCCCGCTAACGCAACCCTTTACACAAAATTCACGCAAATTCCGCAATTGTCAGCGCTCGTTTACGCCCTACCGTAAGAAATCCGTAACGATAGCATTTGAAAGATAGAAACCAACCGTAATCGCAATTCCAGCGTGATCGTCGCGCCGTTGTCCGCCAGCCTTCGCGTAACCTCGGCGTCCACGGCCTAAAAAAAGTAAGCTGAAGCGTAAAATGAAAATACCTCCGATGGTGGCCGGAACGCTCGCGCCGCGTTTTGCCTCGATGACGAATCGGTGTAGCCGCGGCGACGTGCCTGGAACAGTTTATATAACATAAGTTTTTCACGGAATAATTTTTAAAGGGACTAAGAAGTGTCCGAATCTACCCCTTTCTCAACTAGGTCTTCCCAGCTACGCGACAAGCCAAACTACGTACGCAGTGTACTTTGGTAGGGTCACATATTATAGTGCCACAAAATCGGATAGACAGCTGTCATTTGGAGTGTTGCGTAGCTGTCAAGACCTAGTCGAGAAAGGGGGTCGATTCGGGCATTTCCTGGTCCCTTTCAGTCAGAGTTTCATATTTTTTCTAGCTGCTACTAGTAACCAATTATTTACAGTATGGCCTCTGCCAGCCTGCCCCTACAGTACGCCGTCACGAAGAAATGGAATGGATTCCGAAATGGCGGCCGCCAGTCTGCCCCTACCGTAACCCGTAAGAAAGGATTAGCACCTATTCCTCAATTTTTACTGTCCGGCTACCGGCTACCGTAACTCCGCAACCGGAAATCGAGCTAATTCCCAAATGGTGACTGTTAGCCTGCCGCTACAGTAACAAATCCGTACTTAGAGCCATTTAACCAAAGTTACCAACCGAAATGGCCGTCTTGGTGTCGCCGGCCGACCGTCGTAGAGCAGGTCGAATCGTAGCTGCCTCTCCACCTCATGCTGCTTCCTGGACCGGAAAACAACAAAAAGAGGTTAGATGAAGCGTAAAATTAAAATACCTCTTCCGGCGGCCGGTACCCGCGCGCCGCGTATTTCCTGCCTGAATCACCGGTGTGGTCGCGGCGAGGCGCCTGGAACAGTTTATATAACATAAGCTTTCCGCCGACTTATTTTTAAAGGGACTAGGCAGTGCCAGAGTCTACCCCTTTAGCAACTAGGTCTTGACAGCTACGCGACACCCCCAATTACGTACGCAGTGCACTCTAGTAGGATCACATATTATAGTGTCACAAAAATAGACAGTTGTCATTTGGAGTGTTGCGTAGTTGTCAAGACCTAGTCGATAAAGAGGGTGGATTTTGGCATTTCCTGGTCACTTTCAGTTAGGGTTTCATAGATTTTCAAATTGCTATTACTAGTAGCTCTTCAGCAGAAATGAAATCGATTCCTAAATGGCCTCTGCTAGCCTGCCACCTACAGTAACCCTAAGAAGAATAGAACTCGATTCCTAAATGGCCGCGGCTAGCCTGCCACCTACAGTAACCCTAAGAAGAATAGAACTCGATTCCTAAATGGCCGCGGCTAGCCTGCCACCTACAGTAACCCTAAGAAGAATAGAAATCGATTCCTAAATGGCCTCTGCTAGCCTGCCACCTACAGTAACCCTAAGAAGAAATGAAATCGAAACCACGAAACCACAAGAAACCATTTCCTCAATAGTTACTGCTAGCCTACCCCTACTGCAGCCAAGTAATAACCAGAGATTGAAAAGAATAAACGGACCGTATCCGCTTGGTCCCCGTCTGCCGTTATCGAATTGGTGGTTCAGCTGTCATTCCTTCGTCTCCCATTTGTCGTCACAGCTAAAAAACAATCTATTAAATCCAATTAAATTTACATAATCTGTTAAAGCCTATTAAATCCGAGGAAATTGAAAGAAGTTAACGAACCCAACTGCTTGAAGTTGACGATCGTCTCGCCGAGGTCGTTGCCGCCAAGCCGGCCGTCGCGCGTCGAGCTGGCCGGCGCGTGGCCTCGCGTCCTGCCTCGTTCATCACGCCGCAAGGCAGCCACCTGCAAAAAGCCCTTTCATACACATTTCCTCGGTTGCCAAAATCATCTCTGCTGGCTCAGATTCCCAAGGCATCACTGCTAGCCTACCCTTGCTCAAAAAAGCCCCAAGCGCGGCTCAACAATTGCCGAATTCCAACGGCACGTATGTGATTTCAGTAGGAAACTATCGAAAATTGCCTCAATTCCTCAATGACCACTGCTAGCCTGCCCTCAACAGTATGCGTTAAAACAAATCCGACGCGATTCCACATTTTTGCTTGTTTACCCATACGCATACGCCTACCACTACGCTTACGGTAAGAAACGGCAAACAATCGTGCGTGTTCCCTGATAGTCACTGCTAGCCTACCCGAACTTTCGGAAATTCGTAACCAGAGCATTTTGAAAGAAATAAAAGGACCAAACTGCTTGGCGTCGTCGATCTTTCCGCCGATACCCGCAGCTTGTCAATCTTCATACGCCGAAAGGCAGGCGTTGCGCATGATGTCTTTCTCGGCGACCGCCCTCGAGCAGTACGCAGCGACTTACAGTAAACCCTAAGGAGAAATGAAATCGATTCCCAGTAAGCTACCCTTTACTGAAACCGCAACTCGGGCACGTCAAAGAAGTGTAGAAAATTCTTGAGACTTGGTGCCATACCCGCGAGGGTTCTTCGAACGACTCCATCCGCGCCGGTCCCTCCCGAGATGCTCGTCGGTCGCCGTGTCCTCCACGGACGTCTCGCCGACGTTCGCCGGCTGCGATTCTTCGGCCGTCGTCATGAACTGGTCGTTGAGCGGCCTCGTCTCTGCGAGTGCCGTCTATCCCTTCGTGGCGATGCCGCCTGCAAAAAGCCTTTTAACACACGCTTCCTTCGTTAGAAAATTGATCTCTGGTAGCCAACGTTTCCCAAAGCATCATTGCTAGCCTACCCTTGCTCAAAAAAGCCCCGAAGCAGCGCTAACGAATTTTTACTGCGAGCATGTCATTACATTTGGAAACTATGAAAAATTGCGTCGATTCCTAAATGACCACTGCTAGCCTGCCACTTACAGTAACCCTATAGAAGAATAGAACTCGGTTCCTAAATGGCCTCTGCTAGCCTACCATCTACAGTAATCGTTAAAGCAAATTCGACGCGATCCCACATTTTTGCTAGTTTACACATACGCATATATGCTAGGCACTACGCTTACGGTA